AGAGACAAAAATTATGTATAATAAGATCTGAGGTAGGTGACATACGGATCGACTGTAATATTGCACAAATTCGAAAATGGATTAGCTTCATTAAGTTAGGCAGGATCGGCTAATATTATTGTGATACTTAAACATTAATTAAGTTCTTTCTGCTATACGAGTACAGTCGCCATGTATCGACAACTAGCGGGAAATTTGTCACTTCTGTGTTTGGTAACACCGTTTTATGAATTGATACATATAAGTCATTGTGACAGTTCATGCTTAAACTATTAATGCTATACCAGAACCCCACTTACCGATTTTCTGTGGAAATCAGAATTTATTTTATTAGATGTTTCACTTCTGATAGAATGGCCCACGATTATTTTGCCATTTTCTACAGCAGTTTCGTTTTGGGGCTAATTTTGTTTCATGAACAATTTCTTACTGTTTATAATTTATAGCTTTTAATTATCCTACCATGCATTTTCCCTCATGCTGCGAGCCTGTGTAGACTAAACGAAAATTGAATTTGAAAACGGCAAAGTTCCGCGTGGTATGGAATTCAACAAACGACACGCACTGTCATTCAATACTGGTAAAAGTTTGTAAGGTATTGTAATAATAGCGGTGGAGAATATAATGATGAAGTAGTTGATTTATCGAGATAATAAGTAACATTATACTTACATACACAATGAAACCTCAATACCTTTAACAATAGCTGGGCGTTTATGACTAGTCTACCTATTAGTAATTGAATACTCGGTAAATATTAGGTTCACATAAATACGTATATACGTATACATATAGGGACGTACAGTTATATGTGGTCGATATGTGACAGGCAGGAAACCCGAATGGATATGTTAGGTTATTATATCAGTAGAAATGTCAGAATCCAAGTCACGTTTTAACTAACTTTGAACTTCATGTGTGTTGCTGTGATTCGAATAAACAAAGCCTAACAAATCTAATGTAGCGGAAACATAATGCTGTGTATACGTATATACGTTCAAAATATTTCAAAACGTAGTACATACCTCTTTATGTAATAAACGATCCCAAAGGTTTTTTTAAAAATCAATTTGTTTATATTTAACTGCTATAGGGTGACGTCTTTTTTAATCTTAGATTTTAAGATATTGTTGTTGACTGTTTAGGGGAATTTTTGTATGTGCGTAATTTATTGGCCCGTTTATCCATCTATTTCTTTTTTAACACGTAAGCCATTCAAATTTTTCCAAAAAGTGATAAGGAAACGCACACGTTCGAAACAGCGTTAGTGTTTTCTGAAATATTAGCCTTTAAGCATTTGCGCAACATAATTCGGGAAAGATTTTCTTCATTCTGCTGATAACATGGTTTCAAAAATCTTCAACGTCTACTTTCTTGGAAGTGCTCCATGGACGATCAACTTTAGTGGGATTCAGTTCATTGTCAAACCCTGAAACAGTAGACTGTTATGTGGTTTCACGTTCATACGATACGAATATTTCTTAGTCTTAGTTTCGTTT